AAAAGTAGGTACAAAACATGTGTTTTATTTAAATTCGATATTTCCTATCTATTTCCTCCTAATTTCGTAGTAAGAAATTATTTCCTCCTAATTTCGTAGTAATATTTTACTACGCCTTTACGAGGAAAGTGTTTACAACGGCCTTACGAGGAAAAGTACTTTTTCCTCGTAATCTCCTCGTAAATGTACTAAGGTCTTATGAGGAAAGTGTTTCCTCGTAAGTTTTCGAGGAACTTACGAGGAAATTTGCTTTCCTCGTAAGATCCTAGTAAAGGCTTAGTAAATTTACGAGGAAGAATTTTCCTAGTAAAATTTCCTAGTAAATGCTTTGTTTTCTTGTAGTGTGTAGAATCTGCTTGATGCATAAACGTCTCCAACCCTTCGAGAAATTCTTTCGTCACCCTCCCGTTATTATCTCTGTGTGAATACATCCACTTCCGCAACTCGAAAATACTTCCTGGACCGGACATTTTTTTTTTGTTTGATCAAGCTTATAGCTGATTTTTTTTGGGTGTGTTTCAAATGAATCACATATGGTGGTATTTATAGAAATTTTCGAATCTGAGCATTTACGAGGAAATTGCTAGGAAAAGTAGGTACAAAACACGTTTTTGATTAATATTCGATATTTTCTATCCATTTCCTCTTAATTTCGTAGTAACAAATCCTTTCCTCCTAATTTCGTAGTAAACATTTACTAGGACTTTACGAGGAAAGGTTTTACTATGCCTTTACGAGGAAAATAACATTTTCCTCGTAAGGGCCTTGTAAATTTACTTCGAGTTTACGAGGAAACTCTTTTCTCGTAAGTTTACGAGAACTTTATGAGGAAAAGAGGTTTCCTCGTAAACTCGAAGTAAACTCGTAGTATTTTTACGAGGAAATGTTTTCCTAGTAAATTTTCCTAGTAATGCCTTAGTTTTCTTGTAGTGAAAATAAAACTTTATCACCATTTTTTCAGACTCTTAAATTGAAGATTCAGTTTTATACCTTTACAGATCGAACGAAAGAGTGATAGATTCGGACAAAACTCGCGAAATCGTTTGGTTTAGCTTCAAGAATCGTCCAAATCAGAGTAAAACTGAGTGAGTTAGGGTTTAGTGAAATTGAGAAAAAAAAAACAAATTTTTCGAGTTGGAAGAGAAGAGAATGAGGGGTTTGATCCCTAAAACACGAAATCCTTTTGTTAAATCGTGTTTGGCCGGTTCAAATCAAGTGTGATTTAAACCGAATATAACCGAGCAAAACCAGAAAACGATTTCGGAGACTTGCCTGGGCACGGGATCGATCGATCTCATCTAGAGGATCGGTCGTTCCAGACTGATCGATCTGTACGATCGATTAGACTCTGAGAAAGTCGATCGGTTTATGTTTCGCGTTTTTTCAATAAATTGCTCAGTCACGAGATCGAGCGTGTTGATCGATCTTCTGATTCTGGGATCGATCGATCTCGTCAAATAGAGCAGTTTCTTTCGTCTTTTTTTCCCCAATTTGAAGATTTTTATTTTTACTTTTTTACGATTTTAAGTGAATTTAAGGGCATTATTTCCATTTAGAAAATATTTAGAATAATGGGATAATAAGTTAATGAATTTAACCTAAAGGGACAATGTCCAAACCTATTTGGCTTAAAAAACTATTTTCTCAATAAATAAAGCGGAAAACAACTCCCCTTTGCAAATTATATGCAAAGCCAATTAGAAATCATCATAGACTCTGCAACAAAACACACAATTAGAGGGTTAAGTAAAGCTAGGAAGATGTCATTAGCTGGATAAAGATTCAAAACATAGTAAATTAATAGTCGGGTAACTGAACAATGCCCCTTTGCATCCAAGTCTGACCAGTGGAAATTGCACCAACCATAGCCCTTACATTTGTTAGAACACTAAACATAGAGTACTAATACATGGACAAGAGATCAAAGTCAGGCAAAGAATAAACCAGACAGAAAGATTGACTGAGTACCTCAGATACACTTAAATAGAGATCCTTAGTGATTGCAGTTTGTGTTGGCGAAAAATAAGCACACTAGACTAAAAAGATACAAATCAATTCAACAGATATATCAAAGCTTTTTAACTTCAAGGCAAGAAAAAGAACTCCTTTGCACTTGTTAGTTTATAGTATTTCAGAAATTGGGTTTTCAGTAAAGAAGCTCGGATATGAAAGAATTAAGTGACCACATGTTCTATAAAAAAAATGAACGAAATCACTTAAATGACTGGAGTACTGCAGGGAAAAAACGGAAACTAAGTGACCCCATGTTCTATAAAAAAATGAATGAAATCACTTAAATGATTGGAGTACTGCAGGGGAAAAACGGAAACTACAAATGTTACAGAAATGTTGGTGGGATATGGTAAGTTCTGAAGATGTTAATGCTCTACAAAAGCTCTTTACTTAATGCTTTTATACGGAGCTTTTAGAAGAGTATTTATTGTAATAATATAAAAAACAAAAAAAAAATTTTATAGTAAAAATAAAACTTATTATTAATATTTTTAAGTTTTAAAAAGAACAATATTTCACATATAAAATATAATATAATTTATATAATTACACGTATCATTCATTATTTTTAATAACAAAACATAACATAATATATTTTTTTATATGATAGATATAAACATATCTATATTATTTAGACACTAATAAATAAATTAATATCATATATTAATTATAGGATCATTTTATATATGAATTATTGCTGCTCTATTAATAAATAAATACTGATAATATATATATAAATTATATTTAATAATATTAAAAAATAAGTTTATATCCAAAAAAGTTATATATTTTTAAAACAAATTTTAAATATTTTTTTAAATTTTTTTTTAAGTTTATAACAAAACAAATTTAAGTAATATTGAATTGTCACCTTTTAAGCTATCAGTTCAATTAAACATATTTTACATATTTTAAAAATTATATATGTTTAACTAGTAAGACGGTAAAACCCATCAACCGACCGGAATCATACCGAAATTTAACACTCGTTCGGTTTGCTGATCTGAACCAAATCCAACATATTAATAGAAACGCCCACAATACTTTTTTCTAATAAAATTAATTGGAAACAACAAAACTAAATATAAGTAATCGGTGGAGTCCAAAATAAATCAAATTGTTCGTTGTGAACAAGGTTACGATTTTTGATGAAATTAGATAAGCAAGAAAATCCTACACGAACCTGATCAGCAAAAGGAGTAGAGATTTTTTAGACGTGATTTATTCCTTTTCCAGGCTAGAGATGAATCTAGGTTGAACGGTTTAGATCATTAAAAAGGAAATAATATAGAAAGGCAAATCATTAAAAAGGAAAAATAGAATCTGTAAAACCATTATAAAAGGAGGGTCAGGTATTCTATTTTGTTTCATTCATTTCACACATTCATCAACGCTTTCTCTGTCAGCTACTTTAAGATTTGCATATAAAACTCTTTTCATCAATCATACTTGTGAACTTTCTCGTTTGATAATGGCAATAAGAACGAGAATCTTCAGCTTCGTGTTTGCAATGATGATGAGCATCACGGTTCTGTCGAGTTCCTGCTCGGCGAAGATCTACAAAGTGGGAGACTNTTCACACATTCATCAACGCTTTCTCTGTCAGCTACTTTAAGATTTGCATATAAAACTCTTTTCATCAATCATACTTGTGAACTTTCTCGTTTGATAATGGCAATAAGAACGAGAATCTTCAGCTTCGTGTTTGCAATGATGATGAGCATCACGGTTCTGTCGAGTTCCTGCTCGGCGAAGATCTACAAAGTGGGAGACTCCGAGGGATGGACTGCTAAAGACGATGTCTATTACGCTTGGGCAGAGACCAATTATAAGGAGTTCCACGTGGGAGATTCTCTCGTCTTCGAATACGATCCCAGCATCAACGACGTGACTCAAGTTTCTGGCGCTCTGGAATACGAGTTATGCGACTATTCTTCTCCTAAAGCCGTTTACAACACAGGACACGATGTCGTGACTCTCACGGAACTAGGTTTTCACTACTTCATCACCTCAAACCAAGCTCAATGCGTATTGGGACAGAAGCTCGGCCTTCTTGTCATCCATGACCCGTCACGTCCGGTTCCTCCACCACCAACACCCAGCAAGATTCTTCCTGCTGGAAACACCTACAAGGTTGGAGACTCAAAAGGATGGAACGTATATGATAGTGACTTCTATAACAAGTGGAGTGAGGAGAAACAGTTTCATGTTGGAGATAGTCTGATTTTCGAGTATGACAATGAAGTCAAGGACGTCTATGAAATCAGGGGTGATCTAGAATTCATTACATGTGACCCAACGTCTCCTGTAGCTGTGCACAAGACAAGACATGATCTTGTTAGGCTTGCAGAACCAGGAATTCATTATTTCATAACCTCACACTCGGGTTATTGTGAAGCTGGGCTTAAGCTTCGAGTGGTGGTGGGACCAGTACCTAAAGCTGTTGCTTACCCTAATTTCCCCAAGAAGGTNATCTAGAATTCATTACATGTGACCCAACGTCTCCTGTAGCTGTGCACAAGACAAGACATGATCTTGTTAGGCTTGCAGAACCAGGAATTCATTATTTCATAACCTCACACTCGGGTTATTGTGAAGCTGGGCTTAAGCTTCGAGTGGTGGTGGGACCAGTACCTAAAGCTGTTGCTTACCCTAATTTCCCCAAGAAGGTGGACATGTCAGCTATGGAGCGCCTCAACAACTGGTTAAAGACTTTCAAACCCCAGCCACATCATTAAACTAGCTTGGAGCTATTGTTGTCTCGTTCAGCTTTTTTAGTGCTTTGTTTCAAGTCTCTGTTACCATCGTTGTATAGTTTATTTTGTTCAAGCAGTATTAAATAAAATTTCATGTTTGCTTAAACATAACATAAGCAGAAAACTAACATACGAATTTCATAATACCTTTATATCACTGCAATTCCTTTTATTAATAGTATACTAAGAGAGACTCTTCTTCTTGCATAAGGGTATATCATAACATTAGTTTCTTTTAAGAATAGACACTTTTTCAATTGGTTTCTTAAACTGGAACAGAGCTGTTGGATCTGTAGTATTTTCCTCGGACACTTTGAAAAAAGTGTAAGACAATATCAGGTTGTTGATTTCATCCATTTTTGGATCAGTCTCAAACTCATGATCAGTGTAGAAGAAGACCTGCCAAAACAAAGTTTTTAGAAAGATATGAATAAGGTCTTAGTGGGTCCTTGTTATTTTTCAAATATCAAAAAAGAGTCAAGAACAAAAGGGTAGACACCGGCATGTCGATCTGTTCTCCCGGAAGAATTCGTTGTTCCTCAAAGTAGAAACACTGTATCTTGTTGAAATAAACCACTGCCCTAAAACAAACTATATGAATTTGAAAATCAATGAAGAATGTATCAAGGGAAGTTGATACTTGATAGTCATTCACCGAGGCTAATTTATATACCTTCATGGTAGTGACATTGTATGTGGAGACTCCAGTTATTGGAGCTGAACTTTTGTTCTCAGCATTGTAAAAGGCAAGTGTTCTTTCTCCTGGCTTTACTCTCCCCTATAAGAAAAATACCAAAAACCATAAGACGTATTAATTAAAACACACATAAATTAACAAGTCACACAACACTCTTCTGAAGTATAAACCTCTCTTTGAGTTGGAGTGAACTTCCACTGCATCCCATCTGAAACATCAGCATTAAACTGCACCACAATCTCCCTATATTTACAAGACCAACATTATAGACTACAGTAAGATACAAAATTTACCATAGACACATACAAAAAAGTTGACAGGTTATGAATGGTGTTAAGAGACAGAGGAATAAACACCTTTCGGTGCAGTACCTAATTCATAATGCCTAGCAATCTTCTCCATATAAAAGAATGCGAACAACCATGTCTCCATATATACCAGCTAGCCAGCTAATATTATTTTCATGATATACACGTACAACGGTACAACAAACTGATTTTTGTTATAGATTCTACGAGTTAAGTGTTAGTTGCTTATTATGGAGATGACGGGTATTGCTAGTCTTTGGTTTTTACATATCTATAACTATTGTCAATTCTAACTTTTTTTTGGGGTAAAATGTTAAATATAAATTTTCAATATCTATAACTATTGCAACTTCTTTAGTGGTAAAGGTTTGAATCTGAGGCTTAAGGGAAAGAGTGTTACCACCAATCTACCACATCTTTGCCTCTTTGGTTATTTTATTAGTTACTAGTGGTGTGTCTGTGATACGCGCAAGTTGTTTGACATTTGTGTTACTTAAATAAACGAAAATCACTTAAATGATTGGAGTTATGCAGGGGAGAAAACAAAAACTACAGTATTACAGATACGTTGCTGGGATATGGTAACATCTATGCATATCGGTCCACCCCTGGCGACTATATTTGTCCCATCTGGCATCTTTTTTTTTTGTCAACTGTTTCTTTCTATTAGAAAGACCCAAATGGGTATATAACAAAGGAGTTACAGCCATCCCAATTTTCATTAATACAGACTCGACCATAACAGTAAACGCACTAATATTAGGCCCAATTATATTGACCCAATATTTACTTCGAGATTTTCCACGCATCTCTACAAAAGAAAGTTATGAACACGTGTTCTTTTCTGCTTTTGCATGAGACGATCTCTAAACCAGGTGACACGTGTCTCTTAACACCACACGTGGAATGAGAAACCTGAGACGCAGTCTCACTGGCAAACCTCCGCCTTCTGAACTTTGTCTCCGGGCACGATTTGAAATTCCTCTGCTTCTTATCTTTCGTTTTACCATCGCTTTAGTTAGAACCTTCATCAACGCCGTTGGATAAAAAAATCTGGGAATATTCAGTTGACCTAACAGAAGATTTTACCGGACCATCTTCAATATATGAAAGATGTCGATTCATCTAAATCTCCATCAGAACCAACCAAAATCAATCCAACATCACATCTTCCTGTCCATCTAGGAGACTTTACTCGTGAACCAATTTACAAGCTCCAACATAAGAGAGTAAAGATTGATTCCTTTCGGGAAGGAGAAAGTGCAATCCGAAAGAGAAGATGAAAGTATTCCTAAAACAAACGGGATTTTGATGACGAACTGTGAAAGATAAGGATTAAGATATTTACACCGATTCTCTCGAAGAACATAGAGAACATCCTTGAAGTTTTTCTTCGATTGAAATCGGATACACTACAAAAGTCGCCACTGAAGACTAGATCTGCTAACCGGAATAAAAGAGATTCGCCGAGCAAAGTTATCTACAAACAAAAACAAAAGATAAAAGGGACTGGTGACCGGCGGCACGGCCACCGGCCACTGGAATTGATTTCTTTTGATGAAACTTCTAGAGAGAGACGAGAGAAAAGAAAAAAGGGGAGAGTAGTTATTCAATTGTCCCATCTAGCATCTATTGAAAGAAACCTTAAATAAATTGTGGTAAAGTATAAGAAATAAATAGTGTACTAATGAATTATTCACTTATATATGGAAAGTCCACAAAAAATAACATAACATTATTTTATGCTTGAGGAGACTCTGCAATGTGTCAACATTTGGAAACCTCTTTGCTGACATTGCTGTTGTGTAAGGAGAAGAGAGTGAAGTCAATTTTATTATAACATATATACTAGGTGATAACCTGTGCCCTGCGTAGGATGAATGAACAAAAAAAATTATTTTTAATTTATAGATATTAGAAATTTTAAAGTTGTAGGTATAAAAATTAGATCTAATGATATATATTGAACAAAATTATGCATGTATATATAATGTAAGCTTAATTTTTTTTCTTGAAAAATCTTGTGTAATTGGTTATGTGTAAATTATATTGTATGAAAACAAATGTATAATAGTATGCGATAACTTATATTAAGTTATTATGAATTTAAGATGAAAAAAATATGAGATAGAATTATTTGCTTCCATAATAAATTATAATTATAATATTAAAAGAAACATAGGTAACATAAAATAAAATACAAGAAAAAAAAACAAATTATAAGAAAACAAATAAAAAGCTGATAAAACCAAAATGCCGCGAAAACAAATCTTGAAAACTCCTGACATGCAATCCTATAGAGATAAATAACTAAGAATTAGATTACTAAACTAAACCTACCTACTTACCAAATCCACTAACTTATATATATTTTTTCTGAAAGCATCGATTTCTGAACATTATTGAATTCAAAAATAATTTTGGAAAATCCATCATTGTTAGAGACGTTGATGTTTTGCTTGAGAGAATGTTTTGATAAATAGGGAGTAGGGAAGAAGGGTGTGGTGAGTCAAGTAATTGTAGACAACATATATTTATATTAAGAAATCAAACCCGTGTAGGGTTAATGAAACAAAATCAATTCACCGTAATTAATACTGATATTATCTATTTAATTTCACATAACTTGCGCTCCAATTATATAGTAAAACTTACCTTAATTTTGTAGACACTATAATCAAACTTCCATATATGTGATAAAATTGGAAAAAGAAATTGCAACGCGCACGATTATTAATTGATTCAAATAATTTGAATCCATAATCTAACTTCCTTATATACAACAGTCACTTATTTGAAAAAAATGTAACCATAATTGACTCCCTATTATAAAAAAAAACTTATCAAATTAAATGCGTAGCAGATTATTGACTCATTAACATTACCAAAATAATTAAACGTTACTAAAATTAAAAATTAAAAATGTATTAAAATTATTCTAAGTTTCCTTTTAACAATCAATGACTGATTTACCTTGTATAAAAGAGGCTTTCTATATGGTGTATAGATTTTGATCATTATTTTTGAAAGTGAATTGTTTTTTATATATTTTGAAATTTAAAAGGGGATTTGAAGATTGATATTTTATATGGTCAATCTCGATTATTTTTTTGAACTATTTGGAATATTGAATATTAACGATGAGAATATAATCTTGATCATCATTCTTAATATGGAAACACACACATTACGATATTGACTTTCCTTTTTAAACGATGTGAATATGATCAATGAGATTATGATTGACGCATTCTCATTAAAAGTGTTTTTAAATAGGTGATTAGCATTAAATTTCGATCATTATTTTTGAAAGTGATTATTTTTTTGAACTATTTGAAATATTGAATATTAATGATGAGAATATAAAAGTGTTTTTAAATAGGTGATTATAATTAGATTTTGATCATTATTTTTGAAAGTGATTTGTTTTTTTTTTATATATTTTGAAATTTAAAAGGGGAATTGAAAATTAACCCTATTTTTGTATACCATAATTATAATTTCGTTTCTATACAAATCATGTTCGTATTATACGTATATAATGATATAATTATGGTGTGTATATAATATGGCTTTATATATTGCATGGTTATTGATAAAATTCCTAATATAATAAAATTGAAATTCGGTACGAAAACTGTTATTTTCTATATATAAAACGTAATTACAACTATAATCACAATGAAATTTGGTGAGAAAATCGAAATATGATTTGAATATCTATATGATGACATATTATTAGTAATATGAAAAATTTGTATACATATTACTATGGTCTAGATGATGATATATTACTAATATGATTATAATATGAAGAATCCGGACCAGACCATAGTATACATAGTATACAAAGCTATTATATTTCATGATAATAATTAAATATATGTCAAGTTAGTATCAATAATGAGTTAGTTTATGTAGATTTTGACCAATGGTAAAAGTAGTAATTAATTGAGTAAATTAATGGTTTTTAACTAAAAGGGGTGAGAGTGATTATAGAGCTGCCACGTGTAAATGACAATCTTGTAAATCACACATGAAGGCAAGGTTTATTCTTTAAAATGATTCTCTTTTAATATATAAGGGACTAGGTAATAATCCATGACTTCTGCGAAATATGATAATTAAATTTTGTTACTTTTAAATAAAGAGATATTAAATCTGTTTAACCTGAATATCGGTTCGATTTTAAGTTTTGTTTTTATGTTTTGTTTTTAGTCTCCTAAAATATTATAATCATTCTAAAAAATATTTATTTTTGTTTGTTTGATTAAAATGTTGACGTTTTTGGTTCTTTCGGTGATAACAAAAAATTACTATTATTTGTTTTATTTCATGTTATATGAATTTTAGATAGTCTTGATGTCAAACCAATGGTTTCTATTATAGTTTGTAAATGGGTGATAGTTAAACAAAGCGAAAAAATATTAAGACAAACCATTTCACGACAATTTGGTCGATATTGAATAAAAACATTAAGAAAAAAAGAAAATTTCAAGTTCCAAAAGAATTATATACTTTACTTATAGTGAATATTTAAGTGAATATTTAGTTATATATGTGCTCATGTCAATCTGCACATGTATTTTTATGTAAGATTATATAGAGATTGTTGATAAATATATAAAGATACTGTGAATTAATATTAAGTAAAAAAATTGTTCATAATAACACATGAAAGATAAAATTCTTAATATAAAATTAATTAAAAATAAAATAAACCTAAATATTAGTGAATTTTTCATATAAATAAAATCATATTGTATCCGTAAATAAGGGTGGCCACGAATTGAATATCTGGATATTTGGAGGAACTTGTGTCGATTCAATATGTAGCCAAGTCGAATATTCGGTATCTTGGATATCACTAAAATTTCAGAATTTTAACGGATATCCGATATGATTTGTAAATAAAACAAAAATAAAATAAAGATCTAAATATAATAATATTTATTACAAAATAAAATCTTATTTAAGTTTTTAAATTCTAATACCTAATATAATAAATGTAATACATATAATATTGTAAATTGTACATAAAGTATAATATATATGACTTATACATATACGTCTTTAAATGTATATATATATATATATATATACATATTAACATATCAAATCATATACCATTCCTAAAAATATTAGTATTTGTGATTTTCATTTTTAACTGATATTGCATTTTAGTATTTGATTTGCTCGTAGAGTTACGACTATCCAAATTTTTTAATTCGAATCAAAACGGAAAACAAATCGAATAAAATTTCATAAATATTTTTCCAGCCATATATGTAAACAACTAAAATAATATATATATAATTGAGCTTTTGATTCATCATGCATTTTGGTTTTAAACCGAAAATCCGGTTAGTATAATTTGTATTTGGAACTTTATATGTGAATTTTATATTGGAAAAAAAACCGTAAAGTTTATAGTGTTAATGCATTTATGTAGTGTTTGGTTTAGAAGTATTTTACATGTGTCACATTTAAATTCTTATTTTCATTCTCAAATCACTGTAAAATTATCATGTGTTCCTTGTAGTGTGAAATAATTTATTACAATACTTCTCAAGAAATTCTTAGGTTTGACTTTCCTTATCGAGATATTGATTATGTTGTTTTTTACTTTTGAAGACGCTTTCTTATTAGTTAAGTTGTTGCTTGTTAAAGAAAGTCAAAACTAATAGTCTTAGTCAAAAACATATCGCTCGAGTATAGTATATAATCTGAACAGAATCCATATATTTAAAGAATATTTCAAATACATAGATATATAAGGTTTTAAACCATTCACATAATAAGAACAACTAAAACAATCAAAACAAAAAGATCAACATGATACCAATAAGCAAATATGATTTTTTGGCGTTCTTGTGTTTGGCGATTCTGTTGACCCTAAGTAAGCAATCTAAGTTGATTATCTTCTTTCTGTTTGACGTTATACTATATGTCCCTTCATGTATGTATTATATAGTTTTCGGTTAAAGTATATAGATTTATTTTTGTTACATGACAAGTCTTTGAGATGTGTACGCTAACAAAAAAAAATCATGTCCTCCCGCTCAGATTCTGCGGAAGCTCAAGATAGGAGTAAGCTAATTCCTATAGGTCCTTGCGCACAGATTTCGAACTGCAGTCAGACATGCACTAATTCAGGCTTTACTAAAGGCGGAAAATGCATCAAATGGTATCCTAATTCTATCAAGGATACATGTGCGTGCTTTGTAAACGCTCCTACTCCAGCTGTTTAAGATAAATAACTCTTCAAATTTCAACTAGAAATATCTCAACTATCTATTTTAATTAGTAAATTGAAGAAGTTATTTTATGCAAATGAAAAGTGCATTTTAATTTTAATTATGTTGTCCATGTGATCTGTTATATGATCATATTCTGCACAAATAAACTGAATTAAGAAAGTTTAGACCTGTAGTCAAGTTTTCAAACACAAATTTTCAATTAATATAACAACGAATTCAAGATATGAGTGATCTAGTTCACATAACTAACATGAGCCACATCTTATTATTTTGGTTGTTTGATTCTACAAAGAATAATATTTCCTTATTAAAAATATAAATGAAAATTTGGACGTGGAATAATATTTTATTAAACAAATATAGATTTCAGGCAAAAAAGTTAAAGGTACTGCTAATCAACTTATAAACAATAATTATCTGAACATATTGATTCTCCTTAATTGTTTTGCTCTTAACCTTTTCAGCATTTGTTTGTTATCCTATTTTGTATTTAAAAAACATTGACTGTGAGTGGTTGGTTAGGCTGTAAAAACTGTCCTTAACATTAATTTTTACCTACCATGTTTAGAATTACCGATCATTAATTATAGGAATTTTTAAAGTTATAGTCAAAACTAAAAAATAGATGCAAGAACCTTAGTTTCTAAAACAACATTTTTTAACTATAGAAAAATATTGTTGTATCAGTAAATTTTAAGCTACATCCCTTACAGCTAAATCAAAAATCTTACAAATTATGTTATACAGTAACTAGTTACATACCAACAAATCACCCCCTTTGTCTTAATACTTGTATAATTGAAAATCAAAGATTTGATTCCTTATATAATAAGTTATTTTATAAATTTGGAGGCAATGCCGTCTAATTCAAGATATGGTTTGTCTGATTTCAAAATTTGAGGAAAAGTCTTGTCTGTAATATTCTTCTTTTTTTTCGGTCAAATCTTTTTATTTTTTCTATTGTGTTAACTTTATGTTGGATATGAACCAATCAGTTCTAGCCATACAATTATACTTGACAGCTAATCTTCCACTCTCAATAGTTTTATTAAGATTTTGGAAAGAATTAGAATTGTGTATAATATTTTAATACAATCCTTGTATGAAAATAAAAAAACTGTCATGGGTGTTCCTTTTATTAAGAACAAATTCCATGGTTGCTTCCATGTGTAATGGTTTTGTGTAATTTATGGAGAATCTATAAAGTTGGCAAGGTTTAAAAAGTCATCCTCACTTCATGCATCTGTTGGGGTCAGATTTCATCCCTCAAATAATGTCGACATAACTCGATTCAGCTAGCCAAACTCGGCCTAAAGACTGTCGACGGTTCAATTAACCAAAGTCGGTTCTAGGTTAAGTCGATTAGAGGAGAAAAAGGATAAAGGAGGCATATAAAAAGAGAAGACCAAAAACAAAAGAAAGAGATTTACAAACACACAAATAGACACAAGAACTAGAGTGTATACTGTAATCTCAGTTCTTGCCGATTTGACATAAATTCCGTAAAGTTTAATTGTCTTTTCTGTAATCCCCCTTGAGAGCTTCGTACTGTTTAATGCTTAGTTAGGTTTGAGCTAGAGAAAATCTTTTATCCTTTGTTTTAAGAGTGGTTTCTTTCTAGAACACTTTGTTCACATTTTGACATGATAAGACACTTATAGCCGGAGGTACATTTTCTTTTCATCTCAAATTTTTTTGGGCGTAAATACCTTCTAGTGGGTGAAATGAAACATGATAAACAAGACAACGTTAGATGCCATGCAAAACAAAAGAATCTAAGGATGAAAGACGAATGTAAACGAGTTACATAATAGAAATGTTAGTTCACATTGAAGAAAATAGTTGAAGGTGTAATAAATGCACGATTTCTCTTATTTTTGTTGCTGTAAACGAGTTACATAATAGAAATGTTAGTTCTTTAATTCTTATTCTACTCTTTATTTTAAATTACATTTATTTTAAATTCTAAAAATATATAAACTAAAAAAATTGTCACATTAAATTATATATAAAATTATCTATCTTTTAAGATCCATTTTAATATATACTAGATTTTGACCCGCGCAACCGCGCGGGTGTTTGTTTCGTTTATAGTTAGTTATATAAACATTTTTTCACTTGTAAATTGTATATATTATAGTAATCACATATTTACGATATGTATAGTAAATGTTTTTCAAACATAATAATATTATATAATACGTGTTTTAATCAAATAGATTGTTTCAAATTTTCTATATAATACATGTTTTTCAAACATGTGTGTGTTTCTTCTTCTCTATTTTATTGTTTGTTATATTAGTATTTCATTTTAGATAAATTAATATAAATAGAACTTGATTAAATATTAGTATATTTTAATTTGTAAAGATAATATAAACTTTGAAGAATTTTTTGCTAAAAACTAAACTTATAGCTTCATATATTAATATTATAAAGAATTTTTTAAACAATTTCTTTTTTTAAAACAATATATTTTAAAAATTTACATGGAAATAAATTTATCTAGTATATATAGCGTGTAAATTTTGTTAGATTATATAAATATTCCATATTACGAATCTGTGATTTTTGTTAATATATTGTGGATGTATTTAACTATTATTGACATATTTACTTATACATAATAGAAGATTCCTAAAGTTATATCTATTGACATATTTTGCTTGACTAAGTTGGAAGGTATGGGGTAATTTAGCAAAACCAAATTGTTAAGCGTATATTTGTTATTATAGATATGATTTTTTATAAGATATAATATTAATAAAATTATTAGAGAGTTAATGTAACATGACTTTCTAGTAATAGTTCATTTTTTTAAAAAATCACACATGAAGTCAAGTCATGACTTCTGTTTTAATATATAAGATTAGTATATATACAGAAAAGATATGGACATGGACACTATAATGTGGACATGGATAGAAAATATGTGGATGATAGCAGCGTGGTTAGAGATGTATAGAAGCGTGGTTAGGAATGTATTTGTCGACCGAGTAAATAAATTGGTTGAGTTTTGTTGATTAGAGACATGTGAATATGAGAGTAATGTATAAATTCTAATTAGAAATATACCACAGTCTTTTGTTTTTGGTAATATTTTTTTGTGGATATGATCTTGGAAACAAGATCTTGTGGACAACGTCCAGTTAACAAAAAAAAATGGACGTGGACAAGTGAAAGCTCATAAAAAAGGAAGCTATGCAAGATTTGTTTAACGTCGACAGAGCATAAATCTGGTTCAGTTCCAGAGATATAACAAACAATGAATCAGACAAAAAGATATAAGTACAGATTCAAATGATAACTAATGAATAGAAACTGAAAAAAGAAACAGAAGATAGTCTGGAGATGAAAGAGACGAGGCGGGGCAGCTGGAAACTAGCTTTTCATGCCGCTTTGTGATAAGGATCTGGTAAAATCTGGATTATATTTAAAAGAACCAAATTTACAAACGGTTGTGGCAGATTTATGTTTCTTACCCTTTATCATACTGAAATGGCAGCAATACGAAGGGATTTTAAATTTTGTTCTAATTGATTTTATGGGAAATTAGGGTTCATGAGATGAGAAGATGAGAAATTGAATTTTATTTGAAAAGATGAGAGAGGATAGGAAAGTGGGTATGAAAAGTGAATTTCGATAGCTTTAGGTGGATGTAAAGTTTACAAGGTCCAGATGAATAGAAACATAACTAGAACTAGCAACTAGTAGGTTTTGGTTGAAAAGGATAAAATAGACAAAGCACAGCTAACAAGTATGCCTAAAGCAAGAAGTGTTTTTCTGTGTAATTGATAGGACAAAAAGTGTCTTAGAAAGTAAAATTTTCTTGTTTTAAACTGGTGTTTACAATAGATGGAAAGAAACTTTGGTTTATCTCGCAAAATCCTTAGTAAACTCATGTCATTTTGTTTTACTCATCTGACATTGACAGTAACAGTGACCTTAGTGAAAACACTCCACAAAAGCTGCAGCAAAACGTTTGCTCTCAAGTACAAGACATTCCAAGGGTACAAAAACCTCAGGAAAGTTATTCAAAAAGAAAACAAAAGAAGGCGTAAAGATAAACTCAAATCTGATGACAATTTTTATTACAGTTTTCATGTAGACACAGCCTTCTTCACCACTTTGGTAACCTCTTCCGGAGCCTTTTCTGCTGGTATGTTCACCAGATTCCCCTTCTTCGCGTAGTAGTCGATTACCTGCAACAACAACAACAAAAAATCAAAACTCTAATACTCCTCTCAAGTTACAAATATCTTTTAAGGGAACGTACCGGTTGCGTCTGCTTGTGAAATGCATCCAGCCTTGACCTAAGAACATCCGCATTGTCATCTTTACGTTGAATCAATGGCTCTCCAGTGACCTAAACAACAAAGAGAGAGAGAGAGAGAGAGAGATCACTTAATTGCAAATCAAACGTTAAGGGTTCTGATAAATGAGAAAGATTACATCATCGACTCCAGGAACTTTAGGAGGTGCGAATTTAGTGTGGTAGCTCCTTCCACTTGAAGGGTGAATCCACCTTCCAGTAATTCTTTCTTCAAGAACCGAATCATCGATTGCAAAATTAAGTACTTTGTCAATCTGAGCTCCCCTCCTATTAAGCATCTCATCAAGCTTTTAGAAAGAAAGAAAGTAAACAAATTCAGAATCAGAATATATACAAGAACAAATACGCTAAACGTAGCACATGAAAGACAAAATTAGATACCTTCTCAGCTTGGGTGACAGTCCTAGGGAACCCATCAAGAATGAAACCTTTCTGACATTTGGGTCTGTTCATTGCTTCGTCCATGATTCCAACAACCAAGTCATCGGAAACAAGTTCTCCCTGGAACAAACAAGTAGAAATGATTCAATCAAAACTAATACCTAAAAGTGATAAAAACATAATGAAGACTTTGTTTTTACCTTGTCCATAGCTTCCTTTGCCTTAACACCAAGAGGGGACTTAGCAGCAACAGCAGCTCTAAGCATGTCACCGGTAG